CAACATGTGTGGACTGATGAATGTCCGTGTCGTTGTTCCGCAGGTCGAGCGGCGTGGACGAGCTGCTGAAGTTGGCCAAACAGTTTGACTTCAACATGTTCCGTCAGGACGAGGAGGACGTGGAGGACGAGGAGGACGTGGAGGACGTGGAGGACGTGGAGGACGTGGAGGACGTGCACCAGCAGAGTCTGGAGCTCCTGTCTGAGGACATCTTGGATTTTGAGAACAACGACCAGGACGATTTTCCCCCTTTGCTTCACAGAGGCTGTGAACCTGCCGGGACGGACGCACACGTTCTACTGGAGCAACACACGGAGAACGATTTGGACTTTCTATTCGATGGACCGACCCAACGCGTGAGCGGAACTTTAAGTCAGGTGTCGTCTGCTCAGACGTCACAAGTTAAACCTGCTCTCGTTTTATCTTCCAAAGAGGCTTCTGGGAAATCTGCAGCTGTTTCCACCACGAACAGTCGCGGCAGGGCAGCGCACGATGAGTTCGAGGACGACTGGGAAAATGATGACTTGCTAATCGATTCACTGGTTTTGGAAATGACACAGAATCCACAGTTCACTGGTCCGATGCACAGTTCAACACAGAAACCGACCTGTGGAGACCAATCAGCTGTTTGTGCAGCGGAAAAAGGAAAAGAGACACAAAGAACAACTTTCAAACTGGAATCAAACCCTAACTTCTCTGTGAGGATCCAGACGTGGACAAACTCCAAACCAGCAGGCGACGACACTCGGAGCGGGTTTTCAGGTTTTCCCGCTCCGTCCCAGCGTCTCAGACAAACGTCAAACTCAGAAGCTCAGAAATCCTGGTTTGATCAGAGGACGAGTGATTTCAGCTCGTCTGCCTCGAACGCAGCTCTGACAACAGCAACTCAGAGTTTCCCAAAGAAACCTGCCGCACTTTCTTCCCTCGTGGAGCCCGCGGGCGTCTCTGGCGTCCTGGATGAGGACCTGGACGCCTTCTTCTCATCGGAGCCGGTTTGGGACGATCCCTCTGACGACAACCTGCTGTGTGAAATGTGTGAGGACCTGGAGAACCAGATCCAGAGCTCGGACAACGTGTCCGCCAAACTGACTGTGACGTCGAACCAGAGAGCAGCGCTGCAACCGTCCAACAGAGCCTGGGACAACAGGAGCCACCAGCCAGCCAATCAGCAGCCAGTTCTCCAGAAACAAACAGGTCGCCGGCTGGCTGCCGTCTCGTCCTCTAACGTCACTGCAGGCGTTCAGGTGAACGTGGAGCAGGATTCCTTCAGATTCGCTCAGACTAAAAGCACTTCAGGATCCACCGACCCCCGCATGGTGGCGAGCAGCCAGGTCCAGTCAGCTGCTGCGGCGCCGCTGCGTAACGCCATCAAAGAGCAGTTCACCTTCAAGAAGCCAAACAACCCGGTTTCCACGGCAACCAACAAAGGTGAGAGCACCAACAGTGTCCGGGGTTAACGGAGAAGGAAGACGTGGGGCGGAGCCTCCACACGGTGTTTTACCTGCTTCCTGTTTCTCTTCCTCAGTTGTGGGTAAATGCTCGGCAGCAGAGATCGAGCTGAAGAAGCTGCGGGCGATGGAGAGACGACGACAGCGACTGCAGGGCGTGACATCACAGCTGCAGGTGTGACCTCAGAATAAACAGCTGCTCAATTTCTTCTGTTTAAAGAAAAACTTCATTTCACTTTTTCTCTGTTAAGATTAGCTTCACATCCTTTTGCTTTTATTTTGGTGAAGTCAGATTTTCACCACGTGATTATTAATGATGGTGACATCAATAAGCTGCATGGTTAGCTTAGCATTAAGACTGGGCGCAGGGGAAACTGTTAGCCTCGCTCTGTCTGAACATTTTATTGTGTTGAATCCAGACACAAACCAAACTTTGGATTTAGGTTTTAGTTGTGAGTTGGAATTATTTCCACCCAGCGACTTGATCCACAGCCGGAACAAGTTTCAGCTCCACACCTGAGAATCACACGGTGACGTCACTGTACCAGTTGTACTTTAAAGCCACATTACGTTTGTTCCTGCAGGAAAGATGAACAGAGATGAGCTCAGAAATAGTTACGCTAACGGAACTTAGTGCCGACTGATCCTGAAAGAATCGACGAGCGCCTCAGACGTCGTTCTTTCACCAAACACGTGTTCGTCTGAGGCCGCTGATGGTTTGGACATGAAATCATTTTATCTTTACCTCGAAAACTCTGACATGAAACAGTCGAGAATATTTTAAAAGATTCATTTTAAATTAAAGAAATTTCCTTGAATACGTTGAATGTGTCTCTTTGTTCCTTATACACGTCTGAGGAGAGTAACTGAGCCTCGTCATTAACATGGAGCAGATCTGATCAGTTGGTTTGTAACTAGAAATCTCACACTCGTCCAGTTTCATCGTCTGCCTCAGCGTTCTCTTTTTATCAGGAACGTTTTGACAAATTCGTTTAAGTGAGAAACACGTTTGAGTTATTTTTCTTTTCGGTGTCATGTACTAAATAAATACTATAGATACCGATTTGATTTCCTTTATTTCACCGCAGCCAATCACAGGACGGCGTCCGGTGAGAGAAATGGTGGACGAGTTTCTGACTTTACGTAAAACTACAGCGTCATTTTCTGAAAGTTAACGTGCAAAGTACCGATATTTCCCAGCTTTGAAACACAATGCGTTTCTCTTTTGTTTTCTTGTTTGTCATATTTCTCTTTTGAAGAGATTTTAGTTTTGATTCGATGAGACCAACTCCACTTTAAATTCAAATTTAATTTATTGAAAATTCAAATTTCAGCAGCA